GCTGTTGCTAACATGGGGTCATCTAGGAATTCTGTGTTTTAAACTAGTATTTAAAATATACCTGGTATGCTTTTGTATTCTCTTCTCCAGAATTGAATCATTAAAAAATTTTTTTTAATTTTCTTAAATTCATTTATTTATTTTGAGAGAGACAGAGTTCAGGCAGGGGAGGGGCAGGGAGAGGGACAATCCCAGGCTCTTACACAAGAGTTTGAAGTCCTGAAGCCATGAGATCATGACCTGAGCAGAAGTCAAGAGTTGGATGCTTAATTGACTGAGCCACCCAGGGTGCCTCAGTTTTTTTTTTAGATATCTATGGGAGAAAGCACTTTTTTCTAACAGTGTCATTAAAGATACAGAACAGATGAACATAAGGGAAGGGAAGCAAAAATAATATAAAAACAAGGAGGGGGACAAAACATGAGAGACTCTTAAATATTGGTGAACAGAGGGTTACTGGAGAGGTTGTGGGAGGGGAGATGGGCTAAATGGGTAAGGGGCACTAAGGAATCTACTCCTGAAATCATTGTTGGACTGTATGTTAACTAATTTGGATGTAAATTTAAAAAATAAAATTGAAAAAAATTCTTTGTGTTATATGAATATTTAGTGCTACCCCTAATTATTGGTTAGATGATAAGAGCAGAGATAAAGTCGGACAGAAATGTCCTTTTTGAGTATGTAAAAATGTAGATTCCTGGAATTTTCAAATTATTTGAATTTTGTTTTAACTAACAGTTTTGGTTGGTAGAGTTGAGAAATATTTAGTAAAGGATTGTGCTTAAACCTTTGTGTTTTTTTTTATTATTTATTTTTGGGACAGAGAGAGACAGAGCATGAACGGGGGAGGGGCAGAGAGAGAGGGAGACACAGAATCGGAAGCAGGCTCCAGGCTCTGAGCCATCAGCCCAGAGCCCGACGCAGGGCTCGAACTCACGGACCGCGAGATCATGACCTGGCTGAAGTCGGACGCTTAACCGACTGCGCCACCCAGGCGCCCCAAGGATTGTGCTTATTAAGCATTAGTAATTTATCTGTTCCAGAATATTTATTTGCTAGCCAATTTATGTCATGGCCAGTTCTAGGCCCTGGGAATACAGAGATGACTAAACCTTCATGGGGTTTATAGTCTAGTGAGATAGGAAATGAACAAATCTGTGGTGTGAAGAACTGATCAGTGCTTTGAAAAAATATAACCTAGAGTAAGAGAGAGAGTGATGGGGTGGGGACTGTTTAGATGGATTAATCAGGGAAGGCTGTTCTGAGGGAAGAAGAAACTCTTGCAAAGACTTTCCAGTCAGAGGGAATAGTAAATGCCAGGGAGCATGAGTCAGGATCTAGCTCACTGAGGACCAGTTTGGTATGTTGGAAGAAGAGCAAGAAAGCTAGTCTGACAAGAGCAGAGAGAACAAAGTGGAGAATGATAGGAATTGAGGGTAAAGTGGTAGGCAGGGACCAGAGCTTGTTTCACCTTCTTGCCCATGGATTTTTTTAAAATTAAAGTTATTTATTTATTTATTTAGACAGAGACAGTACAAATTGGGGAGGGGCAGAGAGAGAGAGAGAAAATCCCAAGCAGGCTCTGTGATGCCACAGCATGGAGCCTGATGTGGGACTTGAACTCACGAAACCCTGAGATCATGACCTGAGCTGAAACCAAGAGTCAGATGCTCAACCGATTGAGCCACCCAGGTGCCCCTGCCCATGGATTTTAATTTGAGTGTACAGTTGACCCTTGAATGACATGGCATAGGGGTACTAATACCCCCACCCCACCCTGCATACTGAAAAACCTGTGTATAACTTTTTGACTCCCCCAAAACTTAACTACTAAAAGCCTACTATTTTTTTAAATTTATTTACTTATTTATCTTGAGAGAAAGCAAGAGCAGGGAAGGGATATAGAGAGAGGGATACAGAGAATCCCAAGCAGGCTCTGCACTGTCAGCACATAGCCTGATGTGGGACTTGAACTCCCAAACTGTGAGATCATGACCTGAGCTGAAACCAAGAGTCCTATACTCAATTGACCAAGCCACCCAGGCACTCCCTAGTAGCCTACGATTGACTGGAAGTCTTACCAGTAACAAATAATAAACACATTTTTTGTGTTATGTGTATTATTTTCTGTATTCTTACAATAAAGTAAACTAGAGAAAAGAAAATGTTATTAAAATATTACAGTACTGGGGCGCCTGGGTGGCTCAGTTGGTTAAGCGGCCGACTTCGGTTCAGGTCATGATCTCGCGGTCCGTGAGTTTGAGCCCCACGTCGGGCTCTGTGCTGACAGCTCAGAGCCTGGAGCCTGTTTCAGATTCTGTGTCTCCCTCTCTCTGACCCTCTCCCATTCATGCTCTCTCTCTGTCTCAAAAATAAATAAACGTTAAAATTTTTTTTTTAAATATTACAGTACTGTATTGCATTTATTGAAAAAAAAATGTGTATAAATGGACCTATGTAGTCCAAACCTGTGTTATTCAAGGGTCAGCTGTAATTGGAGACCATAGGAGTTTTGGGGCAGATTTGCGACATGATTTGATTTACCTTTTGAAAGTTCATTGCAGCTACTGAGTGGAAAACTGACCATAGGAAAGGCAAGGTCTCAGGCATTGGACCATTTAGGAAGCTTTTATAGTGATCCAGGCTTGTGGTTTCCAATGTGCTTATGATAATCTATGTGGTATAAGAAGAAACTGTTACAACTATATATTTATTTTTCAAAAATTAAGCTTTACTAATATTTGATATACATGTTGGTACTGGTACCTACATTCTATCTGTGTATTAGTTCCATGTGACCTACCATTTTTGGCCTGAGCAACTGGGCGAGTGCTAGTATTTACTCAGATGAGAACAGGGTGGAGCAGGGTTTGTTTGGGGGTAAGGGTAAGAAAGCAGGAACTCACTTTTGGGCATCTTAAGTTTGAGGTGCCTATTCAAAATTTAATGAGATTTATCAGGTAGGTGGTTTAGATGTATGACTCTGGAACCAAGGTTAGAGATATAAATTTGGAAATCATTAGCATAGAAGCAGTATCCAACAACTGGAGCCTAATTGTGTGAATACAGATTTCAGCTTTGCCACTTACTGGCTTTAATTGTGGACAAGTTAACTTGGCATCTCTCTGCTTCATTTACCTCATCTATGAAATGGAGAAAATAAGTGTCTGCCTCACTGGGTTATTGTGAGGATTAAACGAGTTAATAAAAGCAAAGGGCTTAGAACAGCATCTGGCACGCAGTGTACCCCAGATATTAACTATTGCTATCAATTTATAAATGGTGTTTAAGACCAGGGGATTTGATGAAATGACCTAAAGAATGAATGTAGGTAGAGAAAAGGGCCCAAGGAAGAAGTGCTGAAACACTATAACCTTTCGGATTCAGAGACCAGAGGGAGGAGACTGAGGAGTGGGGTAGGGGTCAAACGAGGAGAATATGGGGTCTGGAAGCCTGCCTAGTGAAGAAAATATTTCAAGGGGAGAAGTCATCATTGGACAAATTCTGTGCAAGAGGTTGGGTAAGATGAGGACCTAGAATTGACCATTGGGTTTGTTAAAATGGAAGCTGTTAGACACCATGAGAAGTGGTTTCAGTAGAGTGGTAGATATGAACATCTGGTTGGGGTGGCTTAAGGAGAGAATTGGAAGTACAGAACCGGAGAACATGGGTATAGACAACTCAGGAAAAGAGAGTATGGAGTAGTAGTTAGAGGAATATGTGCAGAGTCCCGGAAAGTCTGGAATGGGGGTGTGTGTTGATTTAAAATGGAAGATACTACAGCAAGTTTGTATACTGATGAGAGTGTCCCAGTGGGAAGAGAGAACTTCACATATGAGTGACATGGGATAATTGCAGTAGCCAAGACTGTCAATAGGTAAAATCAGGTGGTTTAGGGTACAATTGGAGGGGTTAGTCTTAGACATTAGCAGAGACCGTTCATCCATTGATGAAGATAGAGAATATTAGTAGGGGTACAGGTAGATTGGTGGATTTGGTTATGGGATTTGGTTATGAACTAGTTTCTTGAGTGCTGTAATTTTTCCAAGAAGGGAGAGGAAAGATCATCACCAGAGAGTCAGAAGTGGGAAAGAGTTTGTAAGGTTTGAGAGAGAGAAGAGGTGGTATGATATAGGCATCTTGGAAGGTGGGAGAATTAATTAATTAATTAATTAATTAATAAAAAATGTGGGAAATGCAGGTGAAATAACAAGTTCGGAGGACTCATCTGACATTGGTGATCATTAAAGTGATTCCAGCTTGCAGACGGGGGAAATGTGGTTTTGAGAGCATATATAGAGAAAAAAAGCAGTGGAGGCGACGGCTCCTGTGTTTCTATTTTGAACTCTAGTCACATGGCTGAGAGGATTGCTCTTGGAACATTCCTCAGATCCATGGATGTTGACAGAGGAATTAATAAAAGCGAATAGGCCAAAAACTAATCATTTCATTTTTACCTGTGTTTATTTTCTACATCATGATGTTTTGTGTAGAGGATGAGTTCCTAGAGGTGTTTACATTGCCATATCTCCTTGAGCATGCCTACTTTACACAAATGATATCAAATAGGTCCTGGGATTACTTTCAGTGATTATATTTGGTTGCTAAGTTATGCTAAGAAAGTAAAAAACTCTAATAGGAAAGTTTAGTAGTTTTCTTTTTTTTTTTTTAATGTTTATTTTGAGAGAGAGAGACAGCATGAACAGGGGAGAGAGGGAGACACAGAATCTGAAACAGGCTCTAGGCTCCAAGCTGTCAGCTCTAATAGAGCCTGACATGGGGTTTGAACCCTTGAGCCGGGAGATCATGACCTGAGTGGAAGTGGCTTAACTGACTGAGCCATCCAGGCACCCCAGTTTAGTAGTTTTTCTGGATAGAAAGCCTCACCTAAGTTTGCCCTAGGACCTGTGGTTTCCATTAGTCTAGAATTATCCCTCGTGTCGATTTCATACTTTGTTCAATTACAAGTGAATTCAAAGTCTGGTTTTTGTTTCTTTCAGGTGCTGGAGAATCTGGTAAAAGCACCATCGTGAAACAGATGAAGTAAGTTGGAACATGGCCTTTTGTAAAACTACACTTCCTCATAATGCATGGAAGTCTGTAGTATCTTTTTATTTTATGTCCGTGGTAATGATCTATGGTTTTCTTTTTAAAGAATCATTCATGAGGATGGCTATTCGGAGGAAGAATGTAAACAATATAAAGTAGTTGTCTACAGCAATACCATACAGTCTATCATTGCAATCATAAGAGCCATGGGACGGCTAAAGATTGACTTTGGGGAAGCTGCCAGAGCAGTAAGTGTTTCTCATTTCCTCTTCACTTGCTCCCTTTGAGTAGATGCAGTTAGGCAAAATTTGCTTCATGTTTTAGGGAAATGAACGTAAGCAACAAGATAAGATGTAGCAAAATACGGTTGCTCATTTGAGAAGTATTAGCAACCAGCTTTAGAAGATATTAGATTACCACCACAAAGAAGAGTCAAGGAAATGGGATTCTGTGGGTATACTGTAGGTTTCTGTGATAATTCTTTTATTCACTTCTTTTATAGCACTGTTTACTTTTATTTTATAGTAGTAAATGCTAATAAGTTGAAATAATCTAAAAGAGGTGCCTCTGACTTCTGAGGTATAAAGATAAAAGACAAAATCAGTCTCCCAAAGTAAACTTGATAAGGACATGGACACTAAGTCAAAATTTTAGGGGCGATTTTTAGGTATTCAATGGTACTATATCCCTATACTACATTGGACTACAGCCTATAGAATTGGATGATATGACGTCCTAGGATGATAATTACACATGTCAGATATTCAAAAGTTATGTTGATTAATTATAACACTTCATGCACTATGTAATTCTTGTTTGTCAGTTAGAATGTTTGGTGCAGTGGGGAGAGGGCTAAAATGAAGGTAGGAGATCTTTTATGTAGTCCAAGTCTGTATTGTCTAAGAGAAGGCTTGTAACATATAGAATGATTTCCTAGACCTAAGGCAGACATTCACTGTGTTCAGAGTGTTATTCCTAGGCGCTATGGACAATAAAAGGAGGCTCTGCCTGGAAAAGCAAAGCCTCTGTGTCTGTGAACTAGCTTAGGAATTCTTATCTACTCTCAAGTTATTAATGCAGATTAATATTCAGTAAATAAGTGGGGAAATTGTCGATGGGAGAAATTACCAAAGGATTGTCATAATTGGATGGTATTTGACTAGGAATCTTAGAAGTGGAGTAAGGGAAGAGGAGCCAGGGAAAGGGTTGTAAAATGATTGGAGACAAGAGTAGCAAAACAGGGGATGAGGAAATGTGTGAGGCACGACTTTTATGTTTTGTAAAAAGCTGCCATATCACAAAAATTGAGGACTTTGTTTCTCTAAGCGTCTGAGAGGGGAAAGTATGCTAGTGAATGCAAGGGTAAACACAGCATTTTTGTCTTACATCTTTCCATCCCTTCTCTACCTCCTGCTTTTCATTTCTTTTCCTTTCTTTCCTCTTCCCCCCAGCTCTCCCCAGTGTTCTTATTTTTTCCCTCCCTTTTCTCATCCCTTCCGGTCACCTAACTCTCCATCTCTGTCATGTTTGCCATATACGATAACTGGTCAGTACTACTGTATTTAGTTCCTTCCCTCTCTTTGTTGGCTTTTACTCCATCTCAGTTATTTACTCCTTCTCTTTGTTTCTTCCTTTATCTATCACCATCTGTCCTTTATATCTCTTAATCATCCTTCCTCCTTTCTTTTCTATTGTCAAATTAGCTGTTATTAATGTTTGTGTCCTCACACTGCTTTGTCACCAGATACAGTTGATGATTTCTGTCTTAGTTCAATTGCGCTGCTGTAACAAAATACAGACTGAGTAGCTTATAGACAACAGATATTTATCACACACACTTCTGGAGGCTGGAGGTGTGAGATCAGAGTGCCAGCGTGGTCAGGTGAGGGCCCTCTTCAGTTGCAGACTTTTCACTGTGTCCTCACATGGCAGAAGGAGAAGGAAACTCCTTGGCATCCCTTTAATAAGGACACTAATCCCATTCGTGGGGCCTTCACCCTCATGACCGAGGTACCTCCCAAAGGCCCCAACTCCTAATACTATGACATTGGGCGTTAAGTTTTCAACACATGAATTTTGGAGGGACACAGACATTCAGACCATAGTTTAAATGACCTCCTTTCATTTCTCTCCTTTGTCAGATCTGTGTCATTAATCTTTTGGTCCTAACATTCCTGTGTCACCAGACGTAGTCGACATCTTAATGCCTGTTAAGGCTTCCTGAATCACCTAGCTTTCCAGCATCCACCCATCCTAATCTACAACCCTACATAATTTTTTTGAAGTTTCTCTTTTTCTTCCATATGTGAAGGTTTATATTTATAATTCCTCACTTATCCTTGTCCAGTTTCTTTGGTTGGTTAGAGAGTGAATGGACAAGAATAGAGCTGGATGGCAGGTAGGTTGCTTTTTCATATCTGCTTAAGGGTAGAGATACGAAGTTCATTGTAAAGAGAGGCCTCTTTTAAAAAAAATTTTTTTTTTGATCTTTTTATTTATTTTTGAGATAGAAAGCCTGAGCTGGGGAGGAGCAGAGAGGGAGACAGGAACCAAAGTGGGCTACATGCTGACAGCAGAGAACCTGATGTGGGGCTCGAACTCAGGAGCTGTGAGATCATGACCCGAGCTGAAGTTGGATGCCCAACCGACTGAGCCACCCAGGTGCCCCAAGAGAGGTCTCCTTAAAGGCCTGTAAAGAGGGTTTATTGTGGGAAGCAAGAGTAGGTCAGTGGAAGAGATTAAGTGGTAAGGAAAAAGTGTTGCTTCTTAAAGCAGTGTTTACAAAGTCAGGACAGCAAAAATATGTAGCTATAGTGCTCACTCTCTCTCTGTTAATAAAGTTTCTAAAGCTGGAATTGTAGTATTTAAAAAAAAAGTAATGCTTATTGATGTTTTTGAATACCTGCATGAGTATAGTTCAAATTTCAGAATAGACTATAAAGTCTTCACATGTTAAATAAAGCACAATACTATATATACATAGAGGGACATGCTCAGTATTATGTTTGCCAATCAGTGTACTTTTTCAGCTTCCCTCAGTCATTTGCTTCTTTATTTAAATTTTTTTCCTAAGTTTATTTATTTTGAGACAGAGAGAGCACAAGCAGGGGAGGGGTAGGGGGAGAGAGAGAGAGGGGGGGAGGGAGAGAGGGAGGGAGACAGAGAGAGAGAGAGAGAGAGAGAGAGAGAATCCCAAGCAGGCTAATGGGGCTTGAACTCATGAACCATGAGATCCTGACCTGAGTGGAAATCAAGAGTTGGACGCTTAACTGACTGAGCCATCTAGGCTCCCCCAAAATAAAAATTTTAAATAAATGGGGTGCCTTTATTTATCTGATAGCACAGAGCCTGCTTGGGATTCTCTCCTCTCTCTGCCCCTCCCCTGCTCGCTCCCTCTCTCTCTCAAAAAGAAATCAATCAACCTAAAAAAAAATAAAATTTTTATCTTTGAAAAGAGAGGAGGGTAATATACATGTTAGATGAAGTTTCTTAGGGATGGGCCTAAAGTATTACTTGAAAGAACGCAGAAAAGCATCTTATAGAGGAGGGCTGTTACTTGGCAAAAGTTTTTAAGGCTGAAGACCCCAAATTTGGCATGGTTAGTTTTGTTTTGTTTTGCTTAGGTGGGTGCATGAGTTTTGGGAACACAGAGGTCTTAGGAGTTTGGGGTTGTGATTTTACCTGTGGTCTGAAATGCTTTTTTGCTTGCTAGTTTATTTTCATAATGACTACTTACTGATACAATTGATTGCTCCTCTTCCCCCTTTATTTTTTCTTTAACCAGTATATGTGTTCTTTAGTATCTGATTTTAATAGTTATTTGGAAATCTCTTGAGGAAGATAAATGTGAGATTTGAGGTGGAAAAGCATCCCATGAGACCTGGGTTTATTTATTTAAGATTTAATTTTATTTCTTAAGTACTCTACACTCAATATGGGGCTTGAACTCAACCCCAAGATCAAGAGTTGCATGGTCTACTGATGGAGCCAGCCAGGCACTCCACAAATTCTTCTTTTTAATCTTTTTTTTTTTTAAAAGATTGAGACCTTAGTTTAGTGTTAAACTTAATTGAGTTTTAAACAAGTAAGGGTGGGTAGAATAAAGCAAAAACAATCAAGAGTTCTCATAGCCCTTTTCTGTCTTCTCTACAGCTCACATGTTTCAGGTTTAAAAACTATAACCACTTCCAAAGCTCTGTCTTTGACTCATGAGTTTTGATCAGATCTCTTTGTAACTTTTTTTTTTCCTCTTTATTTTTTTTTCCCTTTCTCTCAGAGGATTATTACTCCTTGGGGAATCTAGAAACTGAATTTTTCTCTGAGGGATTTATTTCCCCCACTAGGCTTCCAGACTTCTTAACTATCTCAATTTCCTCTTCTTCCTGTTCTTCTATCTGAGCCGGAGGGGAAGAGAACACTTTTTCCTTAAATACAATTAATGTTTTACTTGCTCTGACGTGTTTAGACTTTACCTCTTACATGTTAGTTTATTCATTTCTGTTTTTATTGTAGGCTTCCTTTTTTTTTTTTTTTTAATTTTTTTTTTCAACGTTTATTTATTTTTGGGACAGAGAGAGACAGAGCATGAACGGGGGAGGGGCAGAGAGAGAGGGAGACACAGAATCGGAAACAGGCTCCAGGCTCTGAGCCATCAGCCCAGAGCCCGACGCGGGGCTCGAACTCACGGACCGCGAGATCGTGACCTGGCTGAAGTCGGACACCTAACCGACTGCGCCACCCAGGCGCCCCATATTGTAGGCTTCCTTTAACAGAATGGGAATATGTTCTATGTGCCCATCTCACAGACCAGTTTTTTCTGTTAAAAATCATGATTAACCAGGGTGATTTGTAGGGTAGTCAGAAGAGATCTTTTCAGGGGATGGTGGTATGTGGTAGAGGGACTGAGATAATTCCTCACCTTAGCTCTGCACCTCTAACTATAGTGGAGTGACTAGGGGGAATGACTTCATTGTAAATTCTCTCAGACTGCCCTGCCTGGAAAGGTCTCTTTAATACCTCTCTTGAAATAACGTAACATACAGTGTGTGTGTGTGTGTGTGTGTGTGTGTGTGTGTGTGTGTGTGTGTG